TGACTTTTCATTTTTCCAAGCTGCTCTCAGGATTCCTTATTTGTCTTTCATTTTGGTGAATTTGATTAATATGTCTTGGTAATGTTTTGTTGTTGTTGTTGTTGTTTTGAGGACTATCCTGCATGAGATGTATTGAGTTTCTTGGATGAGTATCTTCTTGTCTTTCATGATATTAATGAAGTCTTCTGCCAGCAAATCTTTGACAACTCTCTCTGTGATTTTTTTTCCCCTCCTCCTGTCCTGGAATTAAGGAACTCTGGTGATAACCAGTGGTTTGAACACACTAGCTGCTCAGTTGCTCCATGGGAGAAACTTGAGGTAGGCTGCTTCCATATAGATTTGCAGTCTTGGAAATCCTTAGAGAAGTTCCACTCTGTTATATCGGGTTATTAAGAGTCAGAATTGACTTGATGGCAGTGGGTTGGTTCTGGAATCCAATCACATGCAGAGAAGCAGATGAACTCCAAACCATAGGCCCAGGCTTGAGTGGTTGGGCTTAGGAACTGGTATTGCTAGTCCATGGGCCCTCAGCATGGATGCAGAGGCAGAAGAAGTGATGCTACCATTCCACAGACCTCTGCCACAGGTAGTTAGGCAGGGGGTGGGCACTGCAGGCCCACAGGTACTAAGCATGAGTAGCTGAACAAAGGGGCTAGCACCAGTCAGTGGACCTCAGCTCTAGGAAAAGTGTAGTGATGGGTATTGCCAGATCACAATTGTGTGCGGGGTAGTGGGAAGGAGGGAGGTAGATGAAGGGGGAGAGAGGAGCACCACAAGTTTCTTGATTTGGGCCACCAGATCAAGGAGGCTAGGGGGTTTGGTGGGTGAAGTGAGTGCCCTCAGCTTTTGCTGAATGGGGTGTACTCCTGTTTGGTTCTTGATATGGGTTCAAAATCACTCATATTTGGCCTCACAAAGTGATGAGGGCTGCTTGCTTCATGTTAATATGTCTAAGCCATGCAGATTAGTATGTCAGGGTGCCTGCGATCTGTAGCTCTCTGTGTCCATCATTCTTGTACAGTCTCCCCTTACACTTGACACTCAGTCCAATTCTTCAGCTTTGCTTTTGATGCTCAGGGTGCCAAAGCTGTCATCTATGACTGATTTACTAATTTTTTTCAGGTTTTTATTATAAGAAGGACATTACGAGTTGTCTGATTATGCTATCATCTTGGATCAGTGACTATTATTCTTAAGATAAAATCCTCCAGGAAAATAGGGTTTTCAATGCTTGATTTATCAGAGGTAGATCATCAGGCCTTTCTTCCAAGGTGCTTCTGGTGGGTCCAACTTTCCACCTTTTGATTAACAGCTGAGCATATTACCCTTTGCACCACTTGGCAACTCCTGATCAATGTCATTATTATAATAGTTATAATGTTTATTTATAAGTAATGATATAATATATGCCTTTTGATTGAATTAGTATTGATCTTTTTAACCTCCTATTTGTATACTAATCAGAATAAATTCATTCATTTTTCCCCCCCTTCAGGATCTCACTTAGCAGGAAAAGGGATTATACTTTCATATAATGGATGAAAATACTGAAGTTTTGACCAAGAATAATCATTAAAGCTCATACTGCAAATGTTCTTTTAAGTGAAATAGACACTGCAGATTCCTCTATGTTAAAGTTGTCAGAATTAGTAAATAAAAATAACAGACTGCCCAGTTAAATTTTAATTTTAGGAAAACTAGAAATAATTTTGTGGAATGAATATGTCCCAAATATGGCATGTGGCATATTTATCTGACAATCAAACTCCATGCCATCATGGAGAAAGTAGCCAAGGAAAGAAGTCTGTCTTCAGGAAACCTTAGCAAAAACAAGAAATTATTTGCTGTAAATGATGGAAATATCTGAAACACCCTACAGATATTAACCAAAAATTATCCATCACCTTTGGTTCAGAAAGATGAAACTGTACAGAGAAAAGTAAAGAGAGTTACAAAAGAACAGTTACAGAAAATGGACTCATAGAGGAATAAACTTCTCACCTGGAACAGTAAAAGAAAAAGTACTTTTTAGAATTTGTCTCTTTAGTATCTTTAGACCATACTTTAGAAGTATCTTTAGACCATTCCAATCATTCTGTTCATTTTAACAGATACTCATTTCCTTTGAAGTACTCATTTTAAGGTCTTCATTACAAGAAGCATGTTACAATTATCTAGTGGCAAGGACCACACCCACTTTTTTAGACCTAATGGTGCAATGAGAACATTTTATAACAAATTTCTTGCATAAATATTAGGATCAGGCCTAATTAGTTTTAAGAAAGAATAAATTTTACATTCAGTGTTTTAGGGGAAAAGAACAAAAAGTACATATTCAAATTTCAATGTATGAATAACAGAGTTCTGAATGGAGACTTATGGTTTTTAAAGTATCAATGCAAAGACTGTCAGCTAATCACACAGTTTTATCACTACAAGATAATATTAAAATATGCATGTATCTTTCCTGTAAATATTTGTTTTTTGCCTATGAACAGAATTAATGGCTTTGGAGCTGAATATTTTCAATACTAAGTATATCTTGTGTTCCCCAGGAATTTTAGTACCAAAAATAAAAGAAACAAAACAAACTTTAGAATCTCTTCACAATCACTTCTTCCTAGAAAACCATACAATGAGATCCAGGGCCTAATCCCTAAAAATGGACCAGATTTTATTAAGTTGGAACATCTTATTTTTCTGACTAGGTCTTGGAATTACAATGGCAGTGCTAAACTCTAGAAAATGAGTGTTTTATATATTTGGTGATAGATTCCTTAGGAATACAACCCACAGTTTTAAGTGTATACTTTACTTATTTTCTTTTTAAGATAAAAATCATAGCCATATAATATAATTCCATGTCCTAATGCAATGAACCTCACTTTCTGTTTGATGTATGTTCTCACAGTGTGATAGACCTTCTGAGCCAACACTGTATCTTTCCTTTAAAAAAATTTTCCTTTTGCAGAAAAAAAAAAAATTTTGAGCTTTCTTCTTCAACTAACAGCAAGTTTCAAAGCATTTATTTTATAACATCGAAGGATAGATTCAAGTGGAAAACATACGTTTAAAACACAAACCATCCACATTTAGAAGGTGTCACTTGCAGCTGAAATTTCTGAAGAAAACTTGTATTTAAAATTGTACATTTTTGTTGGTATTTTGAAGTAGTTTACAGATAAAATGGATATCATACTGGTCTATCACATGTGACAACTATAAACTTTAACTATTTTGTCTGGAAAATGCCACTGGCCAAGTTTCAGTAGGAGAAATTGAGGCACAAGAGTTTAAGTAATGAATGAGAGAAGTGAAAGCAAGCTTTATTTCTTGCTGGTACCCATAACTGATGGTCCGTGAATCCTTTTTCGAATTAATAAGTGGCCTAAATATAAATTAGAATCTGTTACTTCACTGTAACATTCACTTCTTTTCACGGGTTAAACAAGGGTAATGTACTATGCAATATAAGGATTCATTGCTAACTGTGTGAGTATAATAATAAAAGAATTAGGGTATGAACACACACACACACACACACACACACACAAAAGATTGAATGGAAAGAAATTGATGAACTATAGCTCAAAACATTTAAAACCAGATGAAGATACAGAAAATAAAACCAGCCTAAAAGTGATGTGTGATGAACATAAGAAGATGCAGAATCTACCCAAAAGAGTTGTTTTTATCATTTCTTTAGACAATACCATTTACTCTCGAGGTTTCTTTCAGTTCCTAAATAATTTTTAAGACTATGAGTCTTTTAAAAAGATTGGGACCAGTAAAAGAGCTCTACAAATGTTTAAATTGGATGAAAACTACATTTTAATATGTTTCCATATTATGTATATAAACACAACCCATTTAATATCTTATATACAATAAAAGATAATAATTGAATTATATTGTAATGTAGTAATACAAATTCCTTTTAAAAAGCAGTTTAAGTATATTAGAAATTCAAGGTAAATGCACTTTGATGAAAATGTAGGACAAATTTTAACATGGAAAATATACATATGTAATACTGTATTTTTCATATCAATACTGAATTCTGTAAAAATAGCTATATTATGCTTCATAGGCAAATATTTAGCACAAACAAATTGGAATACTTCTATACTGGGAGCTCTACATTATTCCTATGTGTTTTAATATATGTATATATAGGATATATTTCTTTAAAGGATGTTTATTTAAGTTTATTCAATTTAAAAAATACATAATTTGGGGGGGACAAAACTTCAAAGAATGAATTTCACATATTATACATAGAATAATCTATGTTGTAAAATCATGAACACAATGTGACAATAACAAGATAGGCTCACTTGAAATGTTAAATTACATTAAATAAGCATGAGGAGCTATTATGCTCATGTCCAAATGTCTACACATGGAGCCTAAGGTTTCCAAATCTTACTTTAGTTAACTTTCTGGTAGTAACTATGCAGTTAAGCCCCACTTTTATGTGCCATCTCTAGAAGTGAAACTGTAAACTATAAGATACATATGAGTAGAACAATGAGGACATCTTGAGGTGATTCTAGAAATGTACATGTTATTCTGACATAAAGCCCACACACACATATGATTTAAAAAGTAAATCCCTTAACCTAAGTTTGCATTTCTATTAAAAATTGTGTATTTTATCTTTTAGGAAAACAAAAAGGCAAACCTCAGGAGAATTGAGAGAGCACTGGAAAGTGAACTCTCTCTTTCTCTCACACACACATATATGCAAAGATTGCAAAGAAGCTGTTTTTTTCTCAATGATAGGTAAAATTTTAAGAAAAGCAAAAGATTGTATGTACAAAACAGTTCAGTAAAACTATCTTAAATATTTTTGCACAGGTTTTTAACACAGAAGCTCTCTACAAACATCAGTCCAATGCACTAAATTACTCCACTGTGAACTTATTTTCTTGTTTCTTCTAGAAAAATTAAGATAACAGTTAACAGGAGGCTTTGAGTTGCCTCATTTGTGTCTTTTCCTATGCACTTTTGGTTAAGGCTGGACTCGCAGGACCATTGGCAGAACATTCTAGTTCCTTGGTACCTCTTGTGGGTTCTGAATCTTCAGCCTCTTTGTTTCCTTCCTGGGTCTTATCAAGAGCACCAGAAGGACTAATGGAATTCACATCCTGCTTTGATTTGTCCACTTCATTATCAAATTCAATTTTATCTTCTTGGTTGTTGCCTTTCTTTACTTGTCCATTTTGGGCAGGGTAGATGCTGGCAATGATGTCATATAGGAATTGGTATTGCTCCTAGTAAAGGAAAGAAACCACACAGAGAAAGTCTATGTAATGATTGTTATACCAGACTGAATTAGCAAGAACAAATCATTGACTTGTGAAAATTCTGGATAACAGAAAGCTACTCTGATATATCCTAATATAAAGATAATTTGAATAGCTTAGTTAGTTCCAAAGGATTGACCATAGGGTACTATTCAAAACTTACCTTCTAGCAACACCAATTTAGTGTCCATTCTCTTACCTGTCATGTCGTTTCTTATTTCCAAACCTTTACCCATGATGCCATTTTTGCTCTGTTTATCCTCTTAGTTAGTGCCCAAAGATCATTTAAGATTTTGAACAGGAGTCACCCACTTCAGGAAGCCTATTATGATCCTCATAGGTTGACTTAAATGCTCTTTTCTATAATTTTACTTTCTATATTGTTTAGCAAATACATGGCTTTCCCCTACACTAAACAGTGAGCACCTTGATGGCAAGAACATATAGTGGGCACTCAATATATCTTCTTAAAATCAATATATGCAAGCTCAGTGTGACACATAATTAAAAGCTGCATACATCTTAATGAGTAAATAAATTTATATTGTGAATAATTACTAATTCCAAGACTATCATCTATGATTGCTACCACTTATAGAGAATACATGGTAGAATGATTACAAAACTGCCACAATTATTATTTTCCTTGTATCCACACTCTTTGCAATGTGACTTTACAGCCCTTTAACAAGAAGTTGAGTCGAATCTGAACTGGCCTGGTGACTTGACGGCTAATAGAATGCAGAGGAAATCTTGTGTCAGGCCCAAGGCTGGACTTCAAGAGGTAGGTCTTACATACTTCCATTTTCCTTCTTGAACTTTGGCCACCTTTATGCATAAGCACAGCCTCCTGGATGGAGGGAAGACATATGGCTCACACATCGCTGTTGCCATAGCTAAATGCAAGTCAACTGCCAGCCAGCAGGCAGTTGAGGTCAATTAGACCAGCCAGATCCCAGTAGAATCAGCAGCTAAAGGCATGCCTAGAAATGAGCTTGGTACAAATTGGCTGAGCCTGATGAGATCAGCAGAGCTACCCCATCGAACAATATTGGACTCTAATAAATATTATTTTTCAAAAGCTGTTAAGTTTTGGGGTCTTCTTTTATACAGCAATGTTAGTTGATGGGGGTTCCCCAAAACAAAGCAAACCACTGCCATCAATTCTATCATAATTTATAGTAGCCCTGTAAGAGAGACAGGATTAAAGATAAGGAAATTAACAAAATCATGAGCATTTTAGGAAACTAAGAAAATACTTTTCATGAATTGCAACAATGATCTTCAGGTATATACTTGGCCTTAGAAACCGAAGGGGGGTTGCTATCAGTTGGAATTGACTCAATGGTAGTGAATTTTTTTTTTCTTCTTTGTTATGTCTCTTATTGATATTGACAATAATTCAATATGAATTATAATTGAAGCAAAAAATAAGGAAATAAAAGAGAAGAAAAGTGAGAGGCAACTGTCAAAATTAAAAAGGAAAGCGTATTTAAAGCAATGGGGAATTATACTTACAAATGAGGAAACCATTCCTGGCCTAGCTTTGCGTAGAGATTTTACTACTTGAAAAACATCTATCACCTCTTCTGTCTCTGCACTTTCCAAGAGATTAAATAAGGCACAAAATATTCCTGTTTGCTGAGATCCATCTCTGCCAAAGGAAGAAAAGGAAGAAAAAGGAACATAATTCTACATTCTTTGGAGAAAACGGTACTTGACCAAAAATTGAAATAGAAAATATTTCCACTTACTATCTGCAATTATTATTTTATTCTAATTTTGTAAAAACCAAATTATTTATGCTAAATCCATTTTTGGAAAAATTTTTCAATTTAGAGGTATAAAGATTAAATATGTCTTAGAGTTCTGGTAAGATGGCAGAATAGGTAGACATACTACACAGACCCTCTTCAACAAAGAAAAGAGGAACCAAATAATGCAGATACAGAAGATAATCTTGGAGCCCTGATCTTTGAAAGGAAGGATACAGAAATGGACTAAACTCTGACTAGTAGAAGAACCTGCATGAAAACACCGAAAAAGGAGATATACGGAGCTGCAGACTGTTAGCGGTTCTGATGACATGGACAGCTTGGATATTGCCAAGTGGTGTTCGTACCTAAGAATTAACCTAAAAATCAGCCCTGCTAGCCAAGGCTGCACAGAGGACTGCACTGGTGGCTGGTGAATAAAAGGGGAAGCAGGGAAGAAGGAGACGGGCTGAGCTATGGAATTTGGCTGTCTGGAGAGCACAGCCATTTTGAATGTTTATGGGCAATTCTACCATTTTGGATATTTAAAGTGACAGCATTCTCTAAGGTTTCAGGGACCTAAAAATAGGGTCCACTTGCCAGGGACTGCAAGGACATACCTGACACCGGAAGGTACACTATTCCCCTTATTAATCTTATACCCCACACTCTCTTAATGAAGAGAGGTGAAACCATCTCTCACTCCTACCCACCTTCTAGGCCAACAAGAATTTCATCCCAGTCTATGTGCTTCAACAGAACCTTGGTGCCCTGCCTCACCCTGCTCAGATTTCTTTTCCTTTTTTTTTAGCTTGTTTTGTCTGTTTTAAAAATATTACTGTTTTTTCTCTTTGTTTTATCATTTTTATTTTTATTCTTTCTTCTTCCCTTCTTAGGTTCTAGTTTTCAGCTTTTTCTCACTTCTCTGTTCCTTGTTCCCATATTTTTCTTTCTCATTAGTCTCCCCATTACTTTTCTTTTTGCATTTTTCTCATTTTTTCTTCATTATTCCTGTACTCTACCTCTTTTCTCTTATTCCCTCCTCCCCAGATATTTCATAATTTTTCCCCCACTTTTACTATGCATATTTCTTTTGGCTTTTTAAAGTATTTCTTTAAATATTTTCTCTCATTTATGGCCTTTCTTTTTTTCTCGCCCTCCCCCTTCTTTTTCTTTTTGGTGATTGTTTGTGTTTATGCAGTGTGGGTTTTTTGTCCTCCTGATTTTATTTTTTTGATGGTTTTTTGATTGTTGTTTTTCTTTAACTGAGTAGGACACAGCAATTATGCCCATACAACACAACCCCACCCATACCTCCTGCAGCTCCACTTACTAACTGAGAGCCACCACTTCCTTCTGCACCAACTGGCCAATGATACATGATCACTGTAAGAGCCTGACTCCCTTAACTGCCCTTCACAAACAGTTAACAGAGATCTGTGCAGCCACTTTCATTCTCTATCACACCAACCAGGAGACAGGTAGTGAGTGCATAAATGCTGTCAACTAGCCAACAGAGAAGCACAGTATGCTGCTTACTTAGATACATCCACAAAAAAAAAAAAAGAAAATGAATATCTTTGGTGAATTACTCCAGCATATGATCACCAACAAAGTCACAATGTCTTGGAGACAATAGATCATCACAGTCCACACCAAAAAGCAAGATAAAGTTTAGACACAAAGGAGCGGGATACTGACCCAGAACACATCCCTGAGGAGGAAGTAGCATTGGAACTCCCTGATAAGGAATTCAAAGCAGTTATACTTAGGTACCTTCAATGGATTGAGAGACAGATCAGGGAAAACTTTGACAAATTAAGGAAAACACAGACAAAACCTTACAACAATTTCAGAAGACAATAAAAGAACAAAATTAAGAAATGAATGAAAAATTAGAAATGATACAAAACCTGCACATAGAAATCCAGATGATTAAAACTAATTTTTCAGAAATTGATAACACATTGAATGGGCAAAGGCAGAGAATTGAATAATGGAGGACAGAATTTATGAGACTGAAGACAAATACCTGAATACTTCTTTGGAAATGGATCAATCAGAAAAAGGTCCAAAAAAAAAAATGAAGAAAGCCTAAGATTCATGTGGGATACCATCAAAGGAATAATCTATATGTAATTGAAATTCCAGAAGAGGAAGAGAAAAATAAAACCAGTGAGGAAATTGTCCAACATTTGTTGGAAGAGAAATTCTCTGATATGATGAAAGATGAGAATATATCCATTCAGAAAGTCCAATGAGCCCCAAACAGGATAGACCCCAAAAGAAAATGATGAAGACATATCATCATCAAGCTCATCAAAGCCAAAGCCAAAGAAAGAAGAATGGATAACCAAATTATAGCACATACCCACAATGGAATACTATGCAACCCTAAAGAATAACATAGAATCTGTAAAACACCGCATAAAGTGGATGAACTTGGAGGATATCATGCTGAGTGAAATAAGTCAATCACAGAAAGAAAAATACTGCATTAGTCCATTTTTGTAAAACATCAAGGAAAGGTTTATATACGGAAGGAAATTTTTCTTTGTTGGTTACCAGGGGTGGGAGAGGAGGGGAGGAAACACTATTAGATAGGTAGAGACAAGTATTGATTTGGGTGAGGAGAAGGGCAATGTACCAAACATGAGTGATCAACACAGTGGCATTGAGGAAGAGGAAGACACAGAAGTGCATGGGAGACACAGATCACAAAGATGAACCCTTTTGTACAAACAGTACTGCGTTGTCAGTGAAGGCAAACATTGATCTACAGGTGGATAAATGGGTGGCCAGGCTGAATGATTAGGTATGTCTATGCAGGGGGGAGTGTGCCCATGACCATATATAGGGTTGGCAGACAATGTTTCTACAAGTGTATTGGTATGTTCTATAACAATTCCCAGGTATATAGTAGAGCTGAGAAAGGACAAGAGTGTAGTCAGTTTTTGGCCACAGCCAGTTACCCAGAGGGAGCAAGTAGTTGGACCTGTGGGCTTGGGACCATGGTCTCAGAGACATCAAGCTCAATTGGCATAACATACTACACAAAAATATTGTTCCACCTCCTACTTTGGTGAGTAGCAACTGGGATTTTAGAAGCTTGCAAGCTGGCCATCTAGATGCAACGATGGGTTTCTCCTCATCCAGAGCAAAGAAGAAAGAAGAAAACCAAAGATGCATAGAACAAACAGTCCAAGGGACTGGTACACATGAGATCCTCAGCCTGAATGAGTATGAGACCAGAAAAACTAGATGGTGTCTGGCTACCACTCTCAACTACTCAGAGGGACGTAGGAAATCCTGGATAGAATGGGAGAACAATGTGGAACAAAACTCAAAATCATTGCTGGTCTGATAGAGCCTGGTGGCAACCCTGAGACTATGGCCCTTAGCTGCCTTTCAGGTCTAGAACTGAACCCACTCCTGTGGCTTCCAACCAAACAAAAGGCAAGCATATGAGCTGAACATATACATTAGGTAGATATACTCCTTGGAGAGAACAATCAAGGGAAAATAGAAGGGCTGTGTATATACAGGGAGACAGTTTGGAGGGGCAGGAGTGCATGGAAGTGAAGGACGCAGAGAAGAGGTAACTACAGGGAGGAAGTGGGAGGGGAGTGGATTCATTGTGGGAAATTGCAGTAATTGTCAAGAGACAAAGTGTATGTGAGCTGCTGTATGGAAAATGAATTTGCTTTGTAAACTTTCACCCAAATCACAATAAAAATTTTAAAAATACATGTCTTAAACTTTAAAAATATACTTTATCTTTAGTATTTTGTAGATTTTAATGTATTTTTATTTACATTTGAAATTGTTAGCACAGATACCTTAATTCCAATTTTATGAATGAAGAAATTAAGGCTTAGGGCAGATAATGGCGTGGCTATAAAATGATGGAAGAGCTCTGTTGGTGTAGTGGTTAAGGCATTTTGCTACTAAGCAAAAGGTAAGTGGTTAGAACCCACCAGCTGATCTATGGAAGAAAGATGAGGCAGTCTCCTTCTGTAAAGATTTACAGCCTTGGAAGCCCAATGGGTGTTATTATGAGTTGGAGTTGATTCAATGGCAGTGAGCATGAGTTTGTTTTGTTTTTTCTTTGAGAAAGTGATGAAACTAGAAATATTAGATTTTATATTATGAAAATTACTAGACTAAAAGTTTTTCTCCTTTACTCTTGTGTCTTCTTACCACTTTCTGCAGATATTTCTACTTCTGAATCAGTAGGAAGTGCTACCTGATACAGTTATTAATTAGAAATAGGTCAACTGAATGACTTATCAAATTATGAAAGATACAAAACATTAACATAAAGATTTAATTTAAAGAATATGTTAACAAAAGGATATTTTATTTAATGTACAAAATTAAAGAACATAGAGTGGATATTCAACTATGTCTTAAGAAATGCATATGGTTTTAAAACCTAAATTCCCCTTTCTAACTTTTTTCCCCCATATAAATTTCACCTTTGAAAACTCAAAATATTGAAAAGGATATTTCTCTAAGAACTTGTGTTTGTAATTGCAAAAACAAAGGTAATTAAGGTTTCTCAGAAATTCCAAAAGTATTTCACTGGATTTACACTTATTATTTTACTTTAATATATTTCATTTCTCAATTACTTTAATATTTTTCATATAAATGTGGTATACATCCTTCTTTTAATCTCTTATTGAAAGTGGATATATATGCATATTACAGATGATTTTTAAGAGTTTGCATAAAAGAAACTAAAAAAATCAAGTATTATTATTTGTATTATACAATATTTGCTTTGTGGGTCAATTTAGAAAATTAAAATGACATGTGAAAAATCAAAGTTGCTAAGCACCAAGATTTCAGTTAATATGTAATTGAAGATATATCTATTGAAGGCAAAGCATTCAATAACAACTTTGGTCTCTGTAACACCTGATAGAGTGAATCAATGCATATAAGGATGTATTAAGTATAATATCCATCCACCTATTTGTTCATATATACTTCCATTCATTCATTAATTCAGTCAGAATATATATTACTTTCCAGGCTCAATCTCAGGTACTGCAGAATCAAAGATGATATGATACTGAGTATTAAGGAACTCACAATGTAAAATTATTGCCTTATATGGAATATAATAATGTCTATTATATTTCTATAACAGTTATGCTATGGGAACATAAATGAGAGACTAATTACTTCATAAGGTATTTTCACAGAGGTCATGTGTTTTCTCTATCAGGATAAATAAAATTTAAGAGAAAGTATGAACCAGGACAGTAAGTTTACAATGATTTTTAGAGCATATCTTATCAAACCCCACCTACCTGCAGTGAATGAGGAGAGGCACATTCTTGTGATACTTATTCACTTCAGTGGAATTCTTCTGAAGTTTTTGTTTGAGGCTCTGAATCATAGAGATTAATTCTTTGGGTTCTACAGGAAGTTCATCTACATTCCAGTTATTATATTGATACTGATACACAGTTCTGGTATCTTTCCTCTAAAATAAGAATAAAGGAAGCATTAACTTGAGTGAAATTATAAATTTTTACTTATTAAATGCTTACTCAAGCATTAACTTGAATCCATTATGTAATCTGAGTTACATTTTCTTCACAGCTACATTTCTTTCAACCATTTAAGAACTTTATTCTGAAATATTATCTAGATAGTTATTTACTCTCATAAGTAATTTGTTAGTTTTGCTACCAGAGCAATTACATCAAAGATATATATTCCTGAAATTATTTATATACCTTGGCATGTCTCAGTTCAAATTTACGGACAGTATAAGCTGAAGATCTGCTTGTGTCTTTCATATCAACTTCTACATCTCCATATATTTGCTTTCCTTCTCCCCAGTACTGGGCACAGTTTTCCTAGAGAAGAGAGAACACAGTTCAAACAACTCCTGTACAAGTATTCTGCTTGGTATTTAAATTGCTTGGAGGACTGTCCCTTCTTTCTTCCTTTCTCTTTCTCTTCTCTCTCCTCTCTCTGTCTTTCTGTATCTCTTATCTTTCTTTCTCCTTCTATTCCTTCTTCCTTCCTTTCTATTAAATGCAGATTATCAATTAAATCCTAAAATTGAAAGTCTGCCACTTTGAAAATCAATTTCAAATATTTTGGAGAATCATTTAACAAATACATGATGTTTCCTTTTTCAAGTGAAGGGAACCTGGGAATAACCAACTTGGCCAGGAAGCTGCAGGAACAGTCTGTCTTGCCTAGTGTAGGTTTTTGAGAATTCTCCGTCCCTTCTATACTGATATCATCAGCCCCTTCAAAACTTATAGGTTGAGCTAATGACAACCATGTCCCCTCCACTGACTGAGGCTCCAGTGTAACTAAAGTGGTCTTTCAGGATAAAGTTTGCATCATTTGGAGATTGCCAGCACCAAGAACAGATGTACATAAATGGACAGAATCTCTGAGCAAAAGGTCACACTGAAGAATAGGTGAATCACAGATGCATTTGCTCTCTCTGCAAGCTCCTTTGCACTAACCACTTGTTGACACAGACAGGATCCATGTCCCTAATCCATTCTATGTCTGGTGTCTCACAATTTAGAAGAAAAGAAAGATTACTGGAATTTCATGCTGGTAATGTAAATGTATTTTTCCTAAAAAAAAAAAGGAAAAAGAAGAAGAATCCCTAAACTAAATATCAATGGGTCTTGTTTTGGTTATGTACATGAGGAGGGAACCAGAGGAGAGAGAGAAAGAGAGACAGTTACAAAGTTATAAATCATAAATATCATTGCATAATTATAACCACTGAATATGTGTTTGGTCCTGTGTTTGATGCTAAAACTAAGTGAAAAGGAAATTTAAGTGGAAATTCAAAGTATTAAGAAACAAATCAAATACATGTCACAGGCATTAAGTAGAGAATTAAATTAGATCTTAGGGTCACCTTCAACTATGGAAATTTATAGTAAGAAATATTACATTAACATAAGGAAGGAAGGATTGTTTTAGACAAAACTATTTAAGAGTTTTGATTCACTAGAATAGGATCAAAATTGGATCAAAATTAAGTACACAGAATGTCAATAAATTAAGTCTCACTGATGCAAAAGCAAATGATGTGTTAAGATTCAGTATATCTCAGCTACTTGTCCATAATGGAGAATGTGTAAACTAGAAAAACGGGTGAAAAGTCCAAAGATACATGAGAGACTGTTTAGTGAAGGTCTTTAATATCACACTAAAGAGTTTGGTTTTATCTTTAAGTAAATACTGGAGAGGTCAATCCATCAACAAGATATAACAATAATAAATACACATGCATCCAATGACAAGGCTCCAAAATACATAAAACAAACTAAAACAGGAAACTAGATAGCTTCATAATAATAATAGGAAATTTCAGCACACCTCTTTGAAGGATAGAACAACTAGAAAGAAACTTAACAAAAATACAGAAGATCCTAATGCCACAATCAACCAACTCAACTTCATAGACATATACAGAACACTCAACAGCAGGAAAGCATACATTATTTTCCAATGCACATGGCACATTCTCCAGAATAGACCACATCTTAGACCCCAAAGCAAATCTCAATAAAATTCAAAATACTGAAATAATACAAAGCATTCTATCTGTTCACAATGCCATAAAATTGAATAACATCTTGCTTAAAAATCACTGGGTGATAGAACAAATTGAAGCTAGAATTTAAAAAATTCCTAGAATGAACTGAAAATGAAAACAAAACATACTGAAACCTTTGGCACACAGAAAAAGCAGTATCAAGAGTTCAATTTATAGCAGTAAATGCACACACCAAAAAAGAAGAAAGAGGCAAAATCACAACAACTTTACAACTCAAACCAATAGAAAGAAAAGCAAAAGAAGCCTACAGTCACCAGAAGAAAGAAAATTATAAAGATTAAAGCTGAAATAAATGAAACAGAAAAACAAAAGAGAGAATCAACAAAACCATAAGTTGGCTCTCTGAAAGAATCAGTAAAATCAACAAGCCACTGGACAAACTGACAAAATAAAAGCAGGAGAAGAAGTAAAAAGCCCAAATAAGAAATGAGATGTGTGACATTACAAGAGAACCAATTGAAATAAAAGGATCATAACAGAATAATATGACAAACTGTACTCCAACAAATATGAAAAACTAGTGGAGATATACAAATTTCTAAATATACTCTACTTATCTACACTACACAAACTGAAGTAAAAAAACTGAACAGACCCATAACAAAATAAGACATTTAAGAGGTAATTAAAAGCTACTCCCTCCAACAAAAAAAATAAATAAATAAAAGGCATTGTCTCTGGTGGCTTCACAGGAGAAATTTATCAAACATGCAAAGAAGAGATCATACCAATCTTACTCAAAATATTTCAGAGTATAGAAAAGGGAGGAATGCTCCCAAATTCCTTTTATGATGCCAGTATAACTTTGATACCAAATCCAGGAAAAGACACCACAAAAGAAGAAAATTACAGACCAAGTATCTCTCAAAAATATAGACACCAACATTCTCAATAAAATTCTAGTCAATAGAATTCAATAGCATATCAAGAAAAAAAATACATTATGACCAAGTGGGATACATATCAAGGTATGCAAGGATGTTTTGACATTAGAAAAATCATCAACATAATCTGGTACATAAATAAAACAAAAGAATCACATGATCATCTCAGTTGATGAAGAAAAGTCATTTGATAAGTCCAACACCAGTACTGACAAAAACTGATGGTAAAACAGGAATAGAAGGGACATTCCTCAACATAATAAAGGGTATTTATACAAAATCAACACCAACATAATTCTTGGTGGAAAGAAACTGAAAGCATTCCCCTTGAGAATGGAAACCAGACAAGGAAGTTCATCACTCTTATTCAACATTGTACTGGAAGTCCTAGCTAGAACAATAAAACAAGAAAAAGAAATAAAGAACATTCAAATTGGTGAGGAAGAAGCAAAAGCATCCATATTTGTGGATGATATGATACTACTCACAGAAAATTCCAAAGATTCCACAAGAAATTGTGGAATTAGTAGAAGGACTCAGCAAAGCAGTAAGATACAAGATCAATGTACAAATCAGTTGGATCTCTCTACACCATAAAGAGACCTTCAGAAAGGAAATAAGAAAAAATAGAATTTACAACAGCCTATAAAAAAGATTAAATACATAGGAATAAATCTAACCAAAGATGTAAAAGATCTACACAAAGAAAACTACAAAACATTACTGCAAGAAACCAAGAGACCTACATAAATTGAAGAATATACCATGCTCATGGATAGGAAGGCTGAACATTGTGATAACTTCAATACTATGCAAAGTGTTCTATAGATATATATATAATGCAATCCTGATCCAAATTCCAAAAGCAGTCTTTAATGAGATGAAAAAAAATAATTACAAACTTTATATAGAAAGATAAGCAAAGCATCAAAGAAGGACAAAGTAGGAGACCTCATACTACCTAATCTCAGAACACACCACACAGCCATGGTAGTCAAAACACCCTGGTACTGGTACAATGAGAGACATAGCAGTCCAATAGAACAGAATCCAGACATAAATCCATCCACCTTTGGACAACTGATCTTCAACAAAGGGCCAAAGTCTATTAAATGGGAAAGAGACAGTCTCCTTTAACAAATGCTGCTGGCAAAACCAGATGCATATTTTTAGGATAATGAAACAGAATGTATACTTCATACCATACACAAAAACTAACTCAAAATCGATCAAATATCTAAACATAAAAACTAAAACTATAAAGATCATTGAAGAAAAATAGGGACAATTGTAGTAGCTCCAATGTATGGCATAAACAGAATACCAAACATAACTAAAAATGCATAACAGCAGAAAATGAACTAGATAAATGGGATCTCCAAAAATTAATTTATGCTTATCAAAAGACTTCTCCAAAAGAGTGAAAAGAGAACCTATAGAATCACATTTTTTTTTCTCTTATACATTCCACAAGGGTCTAATTTCTAAAATTTATAGAAAACTTCAACACCTCAACAACAAAAAGACAAACGATACAATTAAAATATGAGCAAAGAATATGAACAGACATTTCACCAAAGAAGACATTCAGGCAGCTAACAAAAATATGAAGAAATGCTTGTGATCACTAGCCATTAGAGAGATGCATATTGAACTTCAATGAAATGCCATCTCACCCTCCACAATAATTGCACTAATCAGAAAAATAACAAATTTTGGCAAGGTTGTGAAGAAATTGGAGGTCTTACACACTGTTGGTGGGAGTGTAAAATAATACAACCACTACAGAAAATGATATGATACTTCCTTAAAAAACTAGAAATAGAAATACCATATGCTCCAGCAATCACACACCTAAGTATATACCTGAAAGAAATAAGAGAAACAAGAGTTGTGATGTGAATAGATACATGCACAACCATGTTCATTGTGGCATTATTCACAATAGCAAAAAGATAGAAACAACCTAATTGCCCACCAATGAATGAATGGATAAACACACTATGGTACCCATATACAATGGGATACTATTCAATGATAAAGAATAATGATGAATCTGTGAAGCATCTGACAAGAATGAATTTGGAGGACATTATGCTGAATGAAATAAGTCATCACAAAAGGAAAAATATTGTGTGAGAAACTGCTATTAAAAAAAATAAAAAGGATTTACATACAGGGAAAAAAAAAGATGATTGCCAGGGATGGGTTGGGGAGGAAGAATTACTAACTAAACAGGAGATACATATTAATAATGATTAAAGGAAAGGCAAAACACATTATGGGTGAAGTCAGCACAGCCTGACCAAGGCAAAGGAAGACACTGAGAGGAATGCAAGAATGAAGGGCAACCAGGATATTTACTACAACATAGATAATCTTGCATCAATGGTATTAACAAACAATACTCTACGAATGAATGCATAGATAGATAGATATGCTAAAGAGGTGTGGGAAGGTGTAAGGGAACTTGCAGACATAGGTTTGGTTGTGGATATTTCCACACACATAATCACAGCTGCTGCATATATATTAATAGAGATTACAGAGCACACAAGGGGCCCAGTCATGGAAACTTCTCAGACATAACCAAACACCTTGTAAGATAAAGTTCCTAGGCTCAAAGACAAAGGGCTATAAGGACCTATATGTCAACTGGCACAACATAGTTCTTATGACAATGTTCTGCATCCTACATTGGTAAGCAGCATTTGAGGTCTTGAAAGTTTGGTGAGTGGTTGCAGTATAGCAAATTACCTGATACGGTTTTCTAGCCATAAGTTTTTGTAAACTCTATGGTGGAATTTGCCACAAGCAACTGAGTAGCTCCTGATTGCTAAAGTTATCCACCTGGGATATTTCTGTTGAGTGTAGTACCAAGTAATATTCTGAGAAGTTCGCTCTCTCTCAGGTGTATAGAATTCTGATGCTGGAATTGGTTAGTTTGGCCACTCTGCCAGGCTCAAAAAGGAGCCCTTATAGAGGCAGAAGGCTCTCTGACTGCTGGTGGAGAAAGATGTGCTCCTGAGAGATACATGCTGCTGAGAAAGAGACATCAAGAGACACATATTGCTGAGAGAGAGACACTGAGAGACACACACTGCTGGAAGAGAGATTGTTGGCTGAGAGATGGAGGGCTGAGAGAGAGACTGAGCGTTTTTCCTGAACTTGAATTGTAGCCTGGTGCTTCCCTAATAAACCACATAATCTGTGAGCTCTGTGTGGCCACTGCAGCAAATTATCGAACCCAAGAGAGAGGTAGTGGGTGCTGCGGGAGGAACAGTTGGTGTCAGGGTTGATGAAAGGGTTGGAGGGAGGCAGTATGTCTGGCCTCACAGGAATAGGCCTTGGGCTGCTGATAGTGATTCTATCTTCCTCTTGGGGTGTAAGAGGAGGTCAGAAGATGTGGCCTCCCTGCCCCTTTGGCAGTGGCCATCTAATTTACAACTATTGGTGTCCTCCCATCTTAAAAAAAGGAGAGTGAAGAAAATCATACTCAAGGGAGCAATTAGTCCAGAGGACTAATGGCCCACATGAACTGTAGCTTACACACTCTGAGACCAGAAGAAAGTGATATGGCCAGCTATCATTACTGACATCTCAGACTAGGGTCACAACAGAGGGTCCTGGACAGAGAAGGAGGAAAACATAGGACAAAACATTGAATTCACAAAAATGAGCAGACTTACTGGCCTAACTGAGACTGGAGGAACTCCTATGACTATGATCCTAAGATACCCTTCTGACCTGGAACTAAAGCCATTCCCAGAGACCACCTGTCAGCCAAACAATAGACAGGCCTAAAAAATAAACAGTAACACCTGAGAAGAATGTGTTCCTTAGAACAATGAATTATAATAGATAAAGAGGAAAACATTTGCTCAAAAGCAAACATGAGAAGGTAGGAAGGGGTAGAAAATCTGAATAAAATGAAATGGGGAACCCAGGGCAGAAATGGAGAGAATGCTGACAGATTGTGGGGAATGCAACCCATACCATGGAACACTTTATATACAAACTATTTAGTGAGAAACTAATTTGCTCTATAAACTTTCACCTAAAGCACAATAAAAATTTTAAAAGAAAAAGAAAACAGGATAAATGTACCTGTTACTTTTAGTAAGGGAAGTCACTGGAAGTGCAATGTTGTAGAAAATCTGTGAGCTGAGTAAAGGACTGGAGAAAGGAAAGCACAAGTTGTTGTCCAAATCCAGACAAGGGATAACGGAGGCCAACAATCGGATGGAAGTGTTAAGATAAACAAATGAAATGGTGTAATGTAGGGATGAAAAGACACAGATATAAAGATTAAGAAAAGTAATCCAATAATGAAGAATGATATTGTATAGCAGTATGACAAGAATATATTTTTAAAGAAAAATTCACAAAACTACAGACCTGTTGTCCATTTGTCAGCTCTGTCAGCATAACAATAACTTTGACTTTCCTTTGGAATATCATCTGCCAAAAGTCACCAATGGTCTCTTTCAGTGGTCCCTGAGCAGCAATCATCACTTCAGGTTTCCAGTAACTCTTAAAAATAATAATAATAATGAGACTCTGCTATTATTGCTAACTGAAGACACAGCAGTGGATTCTTAAAACAGCCATTTGGAATATAGTCACTTAGTTTGATATCAGTGCTTTTACATGGAAAATATTAAGATTCTTGGGTCCAAGAAGCAATGTGGTATCAATAGATAAAATACTTCTTCAGTTAATAATAATTCCAAGCTAATACAGCACATTAGACTAAAGCATATTATCTTTAAAAATAAATGTTTCCCTTCAAGAAAAATACCATTTTCTTAAAAAAATTTAGTATAATTGTAAAAAGGAGTTGCTTAAACATTTCAAGGTATCTTCGTCATGTCTCTGGTTTAGCTGTTATCTTTATATTCTTTTGATAGCTTTCAGAATAAGTAAATAAACAATAATTAAGCTAATATTCTATGAATGTGTATTTAAGATAAAATTTAAAAAGACATAAATCCACTATAGTCTGTACAGGCAGTAAGTGTTTATTGACTAACTGAAGTTTCCATGTCTGAATTCTCAGTGTTTAAAAAAAAAGGGGGGATGGAGATTATGTGACACAGATCCATTCAATAATTCAGATAATCTGAATGAAAAGTTTTGAATTAAACAACATTAAATGTACAAATTTGGATTTGCCTACAATTTAGATACCTAACTATAAACATTTTCAAATATTTGTGTTTTCTCACATTTTGTTTTTTAAATTAATATGGTTATTATATGTTAAATATAACTATATATATAATATGGTTATATATAATTATATAATATATAATATGGTTATAAAGTATAACCAGTAGCATTGTCTTATTTTGTAACAGTCCATTAGGGTTTACTATCTTTTAGTCTTCTGATAAGTAAAAATATAATATTTAAAAACTGAGCAGAACTTTCAAGAGTCAATCAACATAGAGTTGGGGCTAAACACATCATTCAGCTATAAATCCCTTAATGAATAGCCATATTAACTTAAAGAGTTAGATCCTGGACTTTGGATGTTTAAGTTCCTACCATTATAAAAGAGGCATTGATGTATTTGCTGGTTTCCTCTGAGTCACTGTCATCATCAGATGATTCATCTGAGTCATGCTCACTTTCTTTGCTCATTTCCAGTTCATGTTTAAGTGGCACTCTGTTAAAGTCATCTGTGTGAAATAAATTAGTAGTAAGTATCACTGGGGAAAAAAATCAGAGCTCTGCTTGATTGTCACATGAAAATTAGGGGGAAGAAAGTAATTTAGTAGTGATGGATTACATTATGTTTACCTGCTGATTTACTGATCTATGTGGAATGACACCTGACATAAAATTCATTACTCATTGATTAACACTACACACACACACACATATAAAATCTAAGGGAGAAAAGAAAAAAAACATGAACCATAACTCTAAAAAATAAATAGATATCAATGATGTTCCATATGATGAGAAAATCTTTGATACATATACCTTAATTTCCATGGAATATCATCATTGTGCTTGATATAAATTGAAAAAAATACTAGGTTATGTTTTAATTTCTCTGTTAATTCCTTAGTTAAATAGGTGCCTCAGAAGAATTACTATTTAGTGCAGAAAATTGTTGAGTCTATAATTTCCAGCAGTTTATTAATTTGTTTTTCTTAATTATGATAACCAAATGATATAACTAACTGCACCACCATCAATTGCTTATTTGAAAACATACTCTTAAGGAATTCTGAAGAAATTATGTAGACCATCCATATAGTGATTTTATTTGATTTGATTATCTAACTCCCTGGTTTTGGTTATATTTTTCTATGCTAATTCTACTTTATACCATTGAATAAATTATAGTTGTATCAAATTTGGTCTTATACATATACTTAAATAGTAGAATCAAGTCTTTAAAACTGCATATTTTAATCTGTTAAGTTTCGATGATTACTTTATAAGAAGTATCTATATGAGATCAAACAATCAATAGCTATTTTAAAGTATAGATGAGAAGGCTGTGGGGAAGGGAGATTAAGTAAATGGATGTAAAACAACTTGAAGAGAAATATAAAATGTTGACACGGTTTGAAGAATTTAACCAATGTCACTGATCGTTTTATCCAGAAACTCTGGAATAGGAGCAAGTTTTGCTCAGTATATTTTCACAAAAAATAAAATAATTTTTTTAAAAAAATTAAAAATTAAATGATTGACAGTTTATAGACTTTTTTACACCCACTTTAAAACTCCCAGACATAAGGGAAAGGAGAAAACTTTAAAAGAACAAGAGTAGGTAATGTTTTGTATTTTGAAATTGTCACGGAGTAAAAGCTGAAATAAACTTAAGATCAGAGAGAACTGGTAAAGGGAACCTGACTTTTCTTCTCTCAGCTGGAGAGATAATGTCTTTCCAACAAACAATTTCTGAAATAATTAGTAGAGGAAAAAACAAACAAAAAGAAACTCTAAATACAGTCTACCCACGACTCTAAATTCCCTTGTAACCATTTGGGATTCAAAATATTTGCTGTAAGTACAATGTAAATGACCTGTTAACTTCTTCTGTACTGTCAATCAGATATTGAAAATTTGCTTCAAAGATTATTTTTCCTCGTATTAAACAAATCCAAAAAAGAGTTTAACTTTATTTGAAGTAAAAATAAAATACATACATGGAATAACATCAGAATTCCTGTTTTTACTTTTATTTTCTTCTTGATTTCCAATGTGCTGTGTCCTCCAACTCCTATATGAAGGAAGTCTCTAAGAAAAAGGAAAAAAATAGAATGGAAAAGTCCTTAAGAAACAATTTAAATATTTATTTATTATTGTGACATCACATGTCTCCTACAGAAAAATATTTTTTCAAGTTTTGTGAAATTTGTGTACATTCTTTATAGGTCACCATTTCAAAGTTCACCTTTGAATTTTTCTTCTCAGTCACTCAGCCTTTAAATATATTTGATACGGTGACTTTGAACTAAAAATATACAACTATAGAATAAAGTATGCTTCCTATTAAGAGCTGCTGAATATCAAAGTAGAATAATTTGTTTTCATATAATTTTAAGACACTATACTGATGTTGTTATTCATCTTGCAAAAGCATTAGTATATTATTTTAAATTATCAGAAATAAACTCTCTAGAAAGCATTCACAAAAGACTTGGCATACACTTTGAATAATAGATATTTTATTTGTTTATGCCTTCCAAACTAGTGTCTGTCACTCATAGCAGCTAATCTGTGAGCAAGATCTCTCATTTCTACTGATGAAACTCTCAAATCTTTTACTTTCTTCTCATTCTACTTAGTCCAGTCCATCTTCACTTCCCACTTGAAAAACATCAACCATTTCTTAACTAGCCCCTGTTTCTTCCATCTTATTTCTTTTAATCCTTCGAAAATAGTGCATGTCCTTCCCAGACTTTCTAGCAACTTGTCATCATTAAGAGGCCACCACCCCGGACTACTCTTTCTCTTTTGGTCACTCTGCTAATTTCTACTTATCCTTTATGTATCAGTCTAAATTCTACTTTCTTCTGGAAAACCTTCCTGCCAGCAATCCTCTCTTTCCCCTAGTTTCCTAAATAAATATCTGTCAAGTGAATGAATAACCTAAACAGAAAGAGCTCATCATGTGCAATATGTGTAATTCAGTAACATTATATGTGTGTATGTATATGTGTGTGTATATATATATATATATATTTGTGTGTGTGTGTGTATATATATATATATATATAAAGTTATATATATATAAAGTTGCTATCAAGTTGATTCCAACTCCTGGATGACACCATGTATGTCAGAGGAGAACTGTGTTCTATAGCATTTTCAATGACTGTGACCTTTCAGAAGTAGATTAAGAAGCCTTTCTTCTGAGGTTACTCTTGGGATCCTCACTTGGAGGTGTAGGTACCAATCTCTGAATCACCCAACCTCAATTATTTTTAAATGTGGCTAACTGTGTTCTTCTTCTTCTTCTTCTTTTTTTTAATTGTGATTTGGGTGAAATTTTACAGAGCAAATTCACTTTCTATACAACAGTTCACATATACTTTGTCTCATGACATTGACTACAATTTACCCCAATGCAACAGCTCCACTCCCACATCCTTCCCATAGTTACCTCTTCCTTGTGTCCATCCCTCCATGCACTCCTGCCCCCTGAGCTGTCTCCCTGTGCATAAACAGCCCTTCTTTCCCCCATGACTGTGCTCTCCAAGGAGTGTATCAACCTCAGGTAAATGTTCAACTCATATGCCTGTCTTTTGTTTGGCTGGAAGCCATAGGTGTGAGTTCAATTCCAGACCTGAAGGGCAGCTAGAGACCATAGTTTCAGTGGTTCCACCAGGCTCTATCAGACCAAAAAACCTGGTTGCCCCTTTTTGTTTTTCCCCAAATGATTTTGATTTTTGTTCCACATTGTTCTCCCTCTCTATCCAGGATCTCCTACATAGATTCCCTTCCAAGTGGTTAACAGTGGTAGCCAGGCACATCTAGTTCTTCTGGTCTCATAGTCTTACAGGATGTGGATGGCATGGTGTACCAGTCACTAGGACTAATTGTTTCCATCAATCTTTGGTTTTCTTCATTCTTCTTTGCTCTGGACAAGGAGAGACCCATTGCTGTGTGTAGATGGCTGCTTGCAAGCTTTTAAGATCCCAGTCGCTACTCACCAAAGTAGGAGATAGAACAATGTTTTTTGTAGTATGTTATGCCAATTGAGTTTGATGTGTTCATCTTGAAGTGGACATCATTTTTAGTTACATCTACATTGAGAAGAATGATATATCCAACACTCCAGTCTTTTAATTTCTTAGTTTCTTCATTTCCTGTGACTTTTCCCTCTACTATGTGGCCATTCTAACCTCCACTTTCATCATTTTGCTTTTGTAGGTCTTGTTTCTAAAAAATTGTATCACCTTAAAACTCATGATTTTTAACCATCCCTGTCATTAACAAGGACCCCTTAGTTTTCCCAGGCATATACCCTAGTACCTTCAGTCTGGTCATCTGCAATCCAGTCAAAATCTCCCACATGTTGCCCATATTACTTTCTCTATATGTCTCATGTCCTTTTTCACCAATTCATTTATTATTGTCCTCCACTATAATTATTCATTTGCAAATACCCTCACCTCCTTTGGATTGTATTCTCAACTACTCAGTCTTCAAAATCATGTACATACACAGAATATTCTGCAAAGAGTTTATTGCGACTGTAGAGAACAAGACCAACTGACTGGACCCTCTGTGTAGTCATGACTATACATTGCAAATAATCAAGCAATAAAAAATTTCTGGAAATCCTATCTCTGACCTGGAGGTTTGCGTTCTGATCTTTGAGATTACTATTTCATACCCTTTCCCTTCATCAAATCTCAAGGTCTTTGTTGCCCTTCTCATTCCTGTCCCCTCAACTTTTAATGGATGATCTGCCCTCATATTTCTTGAGTCAAGAATTTCTTCAGTTCCTATCAGCAAATCTACCAACCTACTTCCATCTCTTTCCTCATTTTCTGTCTTTCAATTTAGATGCAGTAAGGACACTACTTCTATCAGAGTTATGGCAACTACCTGGGTTCTGGATCCCATTCTTTTACATCTTCTATCTGTGTCCACATGCAAATAACTTAGACTCCTGTGTCTAGAATTACACTTAGGACAGAGCAGAGACTCAATAATATTTGTTCAGTGAAAGAATTTACTATTTCTTATAGTGACTATGTATAATTTAATTTAATAAGTATCTCCAAACAGTGAATGTGTATAGTATGTGGTTTATCAGGGTTAGCATATTTAACAGGATTGATCTATCAGCTAAAAGAGCTACAGAACAACAATAAAACACTTTGCTGATTAAGGCTACCCTGTACCTTCTCATTCTTCCAACATAGTGCAGGTTTCATCCCCCTGCCCCCAACTCAGTCCCGCTTTGACTCTAAACATTAAATGATTCTACATCTGATTAAAAGCACATCCTTGGTCTTGTTTTGAAACTTCTGAATCGACCAGTTTGGTGGTTTGCACAAAGGCTCACCAAAGTGGAAATCATAGGTGGAAGAAAAAAGTTACAAAATGTTTTAAATAACTGAGCAATTTGGGAATAACTACTATGTCACCTGTCTTGAAGCTATAGTGAACTACATCTTATGTTAGTTGTCAGAGTAATTGCTTTATAAATAGGTTAGGACACATTTATTCTTTAGTTTCTGTCTATCAGTTCCAGCCAGTTCAACTTCCTAAGCAGTCATAAACTTCTCTAATTATTTCCTTTACAAACTGAAACCAGATGCAGTTTTTGAAGGTGAGATACTACATTGCCTTTGGCAGGCCAATTTTGTGGCTATATACTATTATTTTGACATTTTGTTTTATATCAGCTTAATGAGGAATGGTTTAAAGTGCTGGCTGGAGAATCAGATTTATGAGTTCAGCCCCCGACATAATATTGTGTCATTTCAGGCATTTCTCTTAAACTCCCTTTGTCTTAGTTTCCTCATCTGTGCCTCACTGGATTATGTTTAGGCCCAAAAGTAAGAACCATGTTAACTGTATAGAACAGAAGCTGAAAGGCAGACAACACTCAGTAAAAGTTAGCTACCATTATTACTGTATTTGGAATCACTGTTATTACCTGGAATTCAGCCTCTAGTGGAGATGGCTCACTGGGGGGATCTCTTTTCTTCATGTTGTATAGATATGGGTGTAATTCAGACAAGCTCACTTCTGTTTCCCCAAACTGATTATACTCCACCAAGGCCTGATGGATCAAGATGTACTGTGCCTATAATTTCAAAGGAAAATACAAATAATTTAGGGTCCTATGAGTCACATTTAAATAAAATAAGTATTCTCATATTTTTTTCTCATATTGGAATAGTGGATGGCTAAAGAAAACTGACATCTAGAACATCTAAGTATTATGGAGTTGGTTTTCACAGAGTTCTCTAGAATATGAAAGAAAAAAATAGCTTGCTAAATAAATTTGGCATCTATTGTGTATTGCATAGTTTTTATTTCATTCCTAATTTAAAATATATATATTTGATTACTTTTTACTGTTATTGAGTCAGTAAATCACATTATTGATCTATGAAACTAGAATGCCTTTCACAGTGTATCTGAGAGAAAAAAAGCAAATTGAATCTATTTTTAATAGCTTTCTAGAAAATTTAAGAGAAAATTATTTAAATAAAAAATACAGCAAAACCAGACTAAAGAATTCCCATTCCTTGTATTCGTATTCAGTATTTTTGAGATTAAAATTTCTTTAACTAACACTTCCAATCTCCTGTTTTTGGCCGCATCTTCCATTTTATTTTATTTTTTCAGAATGGATGTATCTTCTTTTTCTCTGGCAACAATTTATTTTTAAATTTCTATATTAACATTTATGTATCTCTAGACATTGGCAACTCTGGGTGGTACAGTTGTTAAAGCATGCAGCTGATAACCAAAAGATGGCAGTTCGAACTCACCAGGTGCTCAACAGGAGAAAGTTGAGACAGTCTGTTTCCATGAAGATTTACAGCCTTTGAAACCCTATGAGGAAGTTCTTCTCTGTCTTATAGAGCCATTATAAGTTGAAATCAACTGGATGGCAGGGGATGCTGTTGTTGTTGCTTAATAAACATTGTATATTTTATGTGTTTTCTAAAAAATGACATAAATGGAATTCTGTGTTTCATTTGGTGACTTTAATAACTCATTGTTTTCATTTCTGTCCATACAGATAGATTAAAAAAAAAAAAAAACCTCTCTACCATCAAGTCTTGTCCAACTCATAGCAACCCCCATTGGGTTTCAGAGGCAGTAAATCTTTATGGAAGTAGATTGTTCCATTTTCCTTCTGCGGAATGGTTGGTGGGTTTGAACCTTTTGGTTAGCAGTCAAATGTCTTAGGCAATATACCACCAGAGCACCTTATAAATAGATATATACCTAGTTTACTCCTTTTTCAACTGCTGCATAACATTCATTGTAAAGAAAGTGCACATGTCCACATATTGTTTATCCATTCCCCTATTAATATATATCTAGGTTGTTTCCCATGTTTTGCTATTCAAACAATACTGGAATGCAGTGAACATTGTTGTACATGCTTTTAGTTGCACATTTGAAAGTACTTTCCCTGGGTACATACATACATGTAGATTGGTTAGGTCAAGTTTGAGCATTCTCAATAATAACAACCACTTGTAATTTCTGAATGCATGATTTTTGCCAGAAAATTTTCTAAGTGCTTTACTTGTATTACTTTACTTTTACCTGTATTACTTTATTTGCCATGACTATCCTCTGAGGTAAGAACTATCTCTGTTTTCCAGATGACTTAACTGAGACAAAGAAAAATTGATTATTTTATGAGATGCTGTCAAATTGCTCCCTAAATAAGACATTCCAATTCACATCCCATTCACTGTGCGGAAGTATTTATTTCCCTATGTCTATATAAGTGCAAACCAAACCAAACCAAACTCACTGCCATCTGGTCAATTCCAACACTTTGGGTTTCTGAGGTGGTAAATCTTTGTGGTAGAAGACTGCCCCATCTTCCTTCCTCGGAAACGCTCAGAGGTTTGAAGGGCCAACTTTCTGGTTAGCAGTCAAATGCCTTAGGCAAGGTGCCACTAGAGCTCCTTATATCTATATATTAACATTTAATATTTTCAGAAATGTTCCCTATCTAATGTGTGCAAATGGTATTTCATTCTTTTTTTTTAGAGTGGTAAAACTGTATATAACAAAACATTAGCAAATTCAACAATATTTATGTGTATAATTCAGTGACATTGATTATATTCATAAGGTAGTACAACCAATATGACTGTCCTTTTTCCAATTATCCTGCCACCATTAAAAGAAAATCAAAAAAATAAAATGTTACTTGTAATTTTCTGACAGGAAATAACTGAGTTGATTAAGAATAGCAAACCCAGACTAATCAATAAACAATAACACTCCTTTCCCCCATCCTTCCCACTCCTGTAACCACTAATAAGTTTTGGTCTCTTATACATTTGTTTATTTTATTTAAGTGGTATCATACAGTATTTGCCCTTTTGGGACTGACTTATTTCATATAATATTTTCAAGATACATCCATTTTGTGGCATGTATCAGGACTTCATTTCTCTTTATGGCTCAGCAATAACCCATTTTATGTATATACCACATTTTGTTTACTCATTCATCTGTTGATGGACATTTAGATTGTTTCTACCTTTTGGCTGTTATGAACAATGCTGCAATGAACAATGGTGTACAACTTTCTATTTGTGTTCCTGCTTTCAATTCTTTTGGGTATATGCCCAGGATCAGAATTGCTGGGTCATGTGGTAGTTCTGTGTTTAAATTTTGAGGACCCACCAAACTGTGTTATTGTATTATTTTAAATATATATTTTACATTCATCTTTCTTCCACTGTACTTATAGACACTAATATAAAATTCTGGTATGATCGGTGGGCTACACATGTTTTAGTTTTCATGAAATTAAAAGAAAACTATTGTCAGCCATTGCATGAAGTGGTGAAGAGTTTGAGTTACTTTTAAGATCATTATTCCACCATGAACAGATTTATTGCAGAAAACTAAAGTGAGAATAATCACTAAAGATCAGAAGTTACCTCCACTTGAACCATCAGACACCTCTGTCGCCGTAGCTTGACTACATAGCCATAAATATCCACTTTGTTTTCTGCCTCCAGGCCCTCTAGCATGGCGTCAATTCCAATATAGGTGCCTGTCCGCCCAACACCAGCACTGACAGAAACAAAAAAGCAGTGAAGGCGTTATTGTGGCCAGGAAAAGAAACAGGATAGTACTAGTCAAGAAAGAAGTAGAGAAAACTATTTAAGTTTCTCCTTACAGATTGTTCACCCAAATAGCAATTTCCACAGGAAAGAATGTCCCTAGAAGTGTGAGGCAGAAGGATTTGAGTAGCTCAGAGCTTGCTTTCTATTGGAGTTCTTTCTTTACCTGCAGTGCACAACAATGGGGCCACTGAAGAAGTTGCTGAAAGCGTTTACTCTTCGTCGCAGCTTGAGGAGCAGGTGAGGATCTTCAGGAACCCCATGATCTGGCCAACTGGTGAACTGAATGTGAGTCACTTCTCTGCCAGTTGTTTTCTCTTTTTTCTAGTCAAGATACAATATTTCCTTTGAATATTATTATTATTATTTCTTTTCACCTCTAAAGCAAACCTGACATAACCAAGTGGTAGGAACCACAGTACAAAAAATACGTGTCATGCAAAAGTAAAGCACTAAGGAAATAAGAGTTCTTAATTCCTTAAACCCACTGCCATCAAGCTGATTTCAACTCATAGTGACCCCCATTGGGTGTTCCAGGTGGTAAGTCTTTATGGAAGTAGATAGCCGCATCTTCCTTCCAAGGAGTGTCTGGTGGGTTTGAACAGCCAACCTTCTGGTTAGTAGTCAAATGCCTTACACATTGTGCCACCTGTGGCATCTTGTAACTATTTTTTCCAACCATGTTGGTAATTTCCTTTTCAACTAATAATTAGTAGTTGAGATAACATGCAGGATTGGCATGCACTGACCAATAAGCAAGAGATACGTTTAGCTCCAATTCTTAAGAACGTCCATGTTGCCCCATCAGAAAAACAAAATAAACAAGCTAACCAAAGATCAGGGGGTAAGAGGGGGTGCATAGGTGTGTGTGTGTGAGTATGTGTGAAAAGATATAAAGAAAAAGTCATTCTCACAACTATTTGAAATACTTCTGCTTGGTGGCCTGCAAACAGGACTATTGGTCATGTGAAAAAAATCTAATAATTTGATTAACACTACATTTCTTAGGCTCTCTCATATTAGAGCCATCAATTTAGAATATAGAGAGAACTGAATAAAGTCAGCCCCAGATTACAGCTCAGGTTTGTCCCAGCTTCACTGCAGCCACCAGAAGATGCATGTCTGACTAAGCAGGTATGAAGAAGAACCACCTGTATTACATGACAGGAGAAACAAATTGCTTTTTAAAGAAATAAAAAAGGGAAAAGAGAAAAAAAAAAAGTTGGTTCTAATTTTCTGATAGGAAATAACTGAGCTGACTATGAAAAGTAATCCCAGACTAATGAATGTAATGCTGATGAGCATCAACCTCTGCATATCCACCCATGTCTATGGATTGGGGGCCTTGATGGCTTAGCCAAGCCCTTGTTCAGCCATAAAATACTGATGAAATTGTTCTACAGCCCTTCCATGGGCACAGCAGTTAGTAATTCCACAAGACTCTTAGAAGCCCTTGAGAGAAATACAAAAATAAGTCTATTTTTATTTTCTATTTTTATCTGAACCATAGAAACAAAATTTAGATTACTGAAAGCCCTCCAACAGCTGGAATTTAGAGAAATTTTCAAACTTCTCTGTAAAGACCACCATTTTTTTAAACAACTCTATTAAAATGTATTTTGAACACCATAAAATTAACCTAAAGTGTACAATTTTTCATGATATTTATACAGTTATAGAGCCATCATCACTATCTAATTATAAAACATTTTCATTAGCCCAAGAAAGAAACCATTACCAGTCATCTCTATTCTGGCTCTAGGGCCTCAGTCCTAAGCAATTAATTAAGTGCACATTAATCTACTTTATATCTCTATATAGTTGCCTGTTGTGGACTTTTTATGTCACTGGAATAAGGCAACATGTGTGAAAATCTCTTTTAACTATTATTTAAGGCTGCACTGAACTCTTTCTTTTCTGAGCTGAACATATCTCTACAACATAGTTATAACTTGTACTTTATAAAACCTACAACAACTAAACTCATTGCCATGAAGTTGATTCTGACTCATGGTAACCGTGTGTTACAGAGTAGAATGGAGCTCCATAGTTAAAACTTTATACTTCTTAAACTCTACCCCATCCCGCTCCCCCCAAAAAACAACCATTTGCCCTTGAATCAATTCCAACTCATGTTGATCTCATAGATGACAGAGTAGAAATGAACTCCATAGGATAATCTTTATGGAATCAAAATGTGCCAGGCCTTTATTCCACAGTGCCTCTGGGTGGGATTGAACCACCAATCTTTTGGTTACTAGTTAAGTTGAAACCACTTGTACCACTCAGGTACTTTATGCCACTTGTATAAATATTTTTTCATAATGCTAGTAAAGTCATTGAGAATAGTGACTATTGTTCATTAATTCAATCATTTAATCATTTAATAAACACATTTAATGAGCTCTTATCTTTTCTTTATACTTTAAGTATCAGAGAATAATAAATACTTTTAATTTGACTTGAAAAATCACTTCTTTGACCAATGACTTAATATGACCCTGTTGGCTTGTGTTATTGTTCTAATCTAACTGCTTCTTCTGCTACATTTTAACTTCTCATTTTAATATTCCATTACTCTATTTTGAGAAAAAAAAAGTCAAAACAAAATTATGTAATAAAATAAACTCACATTTGTAACGTTCAACTTCTGAATAATATAATCTGGGCATCTTTTGTGCTCGTTGATCTTTACAACCACATCTCCAAAAGTCTTGGTACCCTGTTCCATTGATGGCCAGTATTCTGCACACTTGTTCTGTATTTTAAAAAATCATTAATGATTCCAGTTTTCCATTTCAGAAAATTAGGTTCACTAAATATTCTTCTTAAAAAGCTAAGCTACAAAATTTCATTCATCTGAAATTCTCAAACATTTATGTATTCTCCTTTATATGCATATCCACCCTAAACAATGATGTTTGAAATGTCTCCTGAAGGAATTTCTTCATACTGTTTAGCAGAAGGATGATCTGCTCAGGCCTAGCTTCATGGTATACAGCGTATATTCAGTGATCATCAGAAAGGAATAGATTGTATGTGCTTTGTTTTAGGGAAGAGGGTGAAAAATTGCCATGCCTCCTAAAGTCACATTGCATGTGTTACCATGCATCTGCCCAGAGTCAGTTTGGTTTCAAGCATTCGCAATCACTTGTGAAGTTAGTCCCTATATACTGAAGTAATAACAATACTGAAAAGAAAGGGAAGTCTACCAATTAAGCGTGTTGTTGTTGTTGTTATGTGCTGTTAAGTCGGACCCAACTCATAGTGACTCCTCCTTGGGTTTCTGATTGCCCCATCTTCCTTCTGAGGAGTGGCTGGTGGATTTGAACCACCAGCCTTCTGGTTAGCAGTCAAATGCCTTAGGCACTATGCTACCAGAGCTCCCCAATTAAGCATAAGCATATAAATTTTGTGCATACATATATTTAGCTGTGTGTGTGTGTGTATGTGTGTATATCTTTTCCTACGTTTATGAAAAATTTAAATTGTGTTACCATGACTAATGTAGAGGTCTGTCTAGTCATCAGACACATATACATGCTTTTCAAAATGCAATTCAACATTTTCTTTTCCCAACCCCAACAATCTTTCTACCCTATAAATCTGCTGATTCCTTACCCTGTTTCCTTCTTCACACCGAGTGACCATCACAATAACTGTGGCTTTTTGTTCCCAAATCATCCTCCAGAAGTCGTCAACAGTTTCATCTCTGGGTCCTAGGAAGTGAAAAAATGAAAGCTAATAAGAAATATTTCTTACAAGTGCTATAAAGCAATTGTTTAAAGGAGTAGTAGACTATCAAATAAATTACCTTGTGCAGCAATGTATTTCCTGGGTTCTTTGAAACCCTGTTCAAAACACATACACAAAGGCATATCATTTATTGAAACTCAATTATTCATTAATGTACAAAATTATGACTCAACGGCACTGCTTTAGATACACAACAATTTCTTTGTTGTGGATTTTCCAGGACATTTTAAAATTATATTGTTGTTGTTGTTATTTGCCATCCAGTCGGCCCCAACTCATAGAGACCCCTCCTTGGGTTTCCGAGGCAGTATCACTATGGAAGTAGGATTGCCCAACCTTCCTTCCGAGGAGTGGCTGGTGGGTTTGAACCGCCAGCCTTCTGGTTAGCAGTCTAGTGCCTTAGCCACTATGCTACCAGAGCTCCCTTAAAATTATAAGGGGGATTTTAATTAATATATGATCAAGCATGTAACTGTGTCAACATGTTATCATTTGCAAAAAAATACTCATAACTTTTGAGTCTTTGCTATGTACTGAAAACAATTTTAAAAATTAGATTCATCTGGGATGTGCATCAATTTACAATAGCAACTCTGACATTCCAATATTTTATTTCTGCCACTGCTTATAGAACCATTTGCCACAATCTAATCTTCCCCACTGTTGTTGTTGTTGTTGTTATGCGCCGTCGAGTCGGCCCCGACTCATAGCGACCCCTCCTTGGGTTTCCGAGGCAGTATCACTACGGAAGTAGGATTGCCCAACCTTCCTTCCCCACTACCATGTAGTTAATTTTGGGATTTTTACTCAATTTCTTTCCATAAATCACTCTGGGATTACACTACAATTCTACCTCTTAACAAGTGCTAGAATAGACCACTGATTCCCTCAAACTCTCCCTCCCTTTTTTTTTTTTTTTTTTTTTTTGCTATGCCAGGTAAGACATACAATGACTCATACTTCATTATTTAAAATGTCTGCTTTATCTACTTCTATTAGTCAAGACAAAGGAGTACAGAGGCAGACAAGATTGTGCTAAATTCTTCCCAAATTACCTCATCCTCCTTGAATTCACTTCAGCAATCAAAGAAGCTCTTCAGAGAGAAATAACCTTTGCAACTAGATGAAATTTAGTCACATGGGCCACAAAATTTAAGATAAATGTTGGTAACCAGTATTATTCATACAGTCATTTATCCAACAAGTATTTACTTGTTGTTATTATTAAACCCACTGTTATTGAGTGAATTCCAACTCATAGTGTGATCCCCATGAGGTTTCCAGGGCTGTAAATCTTTACGAAAGCACACTGCCCATATTTCTCCTGTGGAACAGCTGATGAGTTCAAACCATCGATCTTTTGATTAGCAGCCAAATGCCTTAACCACTGCACCACCAGAGCTTCTTAATAGGCCACCAGGACATGTTAATGATTGGTAGAGGAAAACCCTAGACTAGGAGCTCTGGTAGCATAGAGCCTAATGCATTTGACTGCTAACCAGATGGCTGGCAGTTTAAACCCCCCAGCCACTCCTCGAAAGGAAGGTTGGGCAAGCTACTTCCTTAGCATACTGCCTCGAAAACCCAAGGAGGGGTTGCTATGAGTCGGGGCCAACTGGATGGCACAAACAACAACACAACAACATACTTGATACCAGTAGGCAAATGATATATAACTACTCATATAAATAGTATTGATTTTGTTGTTTATAAGTTACATTATGGATTTACTTCAAAGTATTTCTAACAATATTTAAAACATTTCCCCAAAATAAAGAAGGAAATGAATGGAGTGCATAGATACAAGCACGATGAAAATCATTAATGAAAAAACAATGCATTTTTACTTACATCAATGTAGCTGGCATTTATATAGTTTGACCCTGCATCTCCATTTATCTCAGAGAGTTCAACACGGTTATAATCATCTGTTTAAAGAAAAGAAAAATAAATGAAATATGGAATAACTGAGTAGCCTCAATATATAGTCACTCAATTCTCAATGAGTACTTACAAGGAAGGATGTCAACATAACGGTTTTTATTCTGGTTAAAGGACTTTCGAGCATCCTTAATAGAAAATTTGCTGAACACCCGTGGTATGCTCTGAAATACACAGAGATCCTTTGGTCAAAACAGATTCAGGGAAGTTAAGTCTCCCCTTGCCAGTTATCCTTTAAATAAAATGGTATCCTTAATATATTGCCTTTATACTGATGAACAAGTTGTATGTGGTAATTAGATGAACACTGTTAGGAATTACAAAAAATAAAACCTTGTTTTCTTTAAAAGTTAGCAATGGATATTACATAGCGAACAAAACCCAAAAGTTAAAGTAAATTGAGAATTCTGTGACACTTTAAAATTCACTTAAAACACACACACTTGGATGACAATGTGGAGTACAAATTCAAAACTGATCAAGTATATTCTGAGACACAACTTCATAATTGGTAATAAACACAATACAGAATATATGAAAATATTTACTAACTCTGCAACTATGAGCTTGTCAGCCTCTATGATTCTCTTTCCTGGTCCATAAATATCTGCTCTGTCTATGTTGTAGTGTGGTGTGAGATACAGTGTAAAGAAAACTGGTTACACAAATGCATTTAAAATGAAACTATCTTAACAATCAATTAAGATTCCTCATTATATGTTAAGAATGCACACACCTGAAATTCAGCCAGAAATAGTCTCCCTTCATCAGCAATCTTTCTCTTATATGATTCCAACAAAACGTCTGCATGGATTGGCTCCACATTCATCAATTGTTTTTCATCATCTTTAAACATAGTAAAGATTTAGGACTGGTGTTACATCTATCCTTAAATTATTTGTATAAATTTCATTAAATATGTGTCTTGGATTCATTCTTTAGTCTTCTAGAAAATATCCCTCCCTTCACAAATTTACATTCTATTAGGGGAGATTAAACAAGAAATGAATAAATATATAATAGAATGTTGAGCAGTAATACAAAGCCTTAGCTTACAGACATGGTATATGCTATTGCCATGGGGAAGCCCTTCAAGGACAAGTCAAAACAAGATGGAGGAGTTCTGAAAATGTTCTTCTCATGAGTATGAGAAAAATAATTTTCATTATTGTAAACCAGTGTGATTTCTTTAATTCTAGTCCCCTTTATGAAAAATCGTGTTTTTTTTTTAATAAATTAAAGAAACAGTATAAAAGTTTTGAAAAGAAAAGGAATTTATTTTCCTCCTCTAAGTCAAGTTCTTATCCTTTGTCATGTTCATAAAGGTGCTTTTAGTGGGAGCAGCCACCCACACTTGCAAGGACTTGAGGACATTTACTACCTTATCATCTCTGTGACCTTCTGTGGTCTCTTCCCTCTACCTCATTTTTCAGTCTAGTGGTTCCCCCACCATCCTAGAAGCCTCAATTTCCCCTCCCCATAAGGAGTCTTCTCTCTTGCTATAGAACCATGAACATTCAATGACAATGGCATTTATCACATTACTGGATTATTTGTCAGTACTGCTGTTTTTCTCTATTACATTCTAAACTCTTTAAGGGCAGAGTCCTTACTCATAGTGACCCCTCCTTGGTTTTCCAAGGTGGTATCGCTATGGAAGTAGATTGCCCAACCTTCTTGTCACTTTGGTATTCTGAGTACCTGGCACAATATCTGATATACACCAGGCACTTCAGAGATGCTTTATGATTAAAAAAATGAATTTAAGTTTCATCAACAGAGAAAATCTGGGTTAAATCAAGGCACTGAATTCTTACAAAAACTGAATAGATTCAAATGCAGGGGAGGCGAATATTCATCAGTACAAATGTGCATACTTACCCCTTTCAACAAGTTCCTGTTGTTCATCTAAATTGCTGTGGAAACAAGAAATATACAGTGGGGTTTTTGTTTTGTTTTGTTTTATGCTTTTAAGAAATATAGAGTTCAGTTGGCATTCAATTTATTAATTTATGAATTAAAGAATTGCTATAGGCAGGTAGTAAGGGAGATAAAACCAAAAAACCAAACTCACTGCCGTCCAGTCAGTTCCCACTCATTGCAACCCCTCCTTGGGTTTCTGAGGGGATATCACTACGTAAGTAGATTGACCAACCTTCCTTCCGAGGAGTGGCTGGTGGGTTTGAACCACCAGCCTTTTGGTTAGCAGCCAAACGCCTTAGGCACTATGCTATCAGAGCTCCCAGTAAGAGAGATAAGGAAGATATAAGGAGAGAAGAAGTGGAGAGGAAGTAGAAGAAAAGAGAGGAAAAAAAAAAGGAGGAAAGAACCAAGCAGAGGATGTCTCCTAAATTCAGGTAAGAGACAGAACTATTTCAAAAATCCTACTATTTGTGGCATAGTGCCTAAGGCATTTGACTGCTAATCAGATGGCTGGTGGTTCAAATCCACCAGCCACTCCTCAGAAAGAAGGTTGGGCAATCTACTTCTGAAGTGATACCCCCTCGGATCGGACTGGAGGGCAATGAGTTAATGAGAGTTGGCTATTCCTAAAATATAGCTGTTCCTGGCCAAATAAATACGTATGTTACCCCAGATATCCCAAACCTCACTTCTTTCACTTTTTGTTATTTTTAGAGCCATCTAATCCATTCTGTACTAAAGGACTTGACACACTCTGTTTTCATTAACAAACCCAATGTACTGCCGGCGAGTCGGATCCAACTCATACCGACCCCTCCTTGAGTTTCCAAGGCAGTATCATGACGGAAGTAGATTGCCCAACTTTCCTTCCAAGGAGTAGCTGATGGGTTTGAACCACCAGCCTTCTGGTTAGCAGTCAAATGCCTAAGGTACTATGCCACCAGAGCTCCCCTCTTTTCTCTGGTTACTGTTAAAGAAGTCCATAACACTATTAGTAGTTGTAGTAAATATTAAGATTTTATATAAACCAATAAAACTCTTACTAAAATTCTTTGATCTAGGTTCAGTCGTGAACTGAACTTCACACTGTGCTGCTTGAATTCACATATTTCACTTAACTGGTTCCATTCCTGCCCCCATGACTATGTGCTTGTATTATTATTACTGTTTTTATTATTTTTACATTTGGAAAGCAACTCTTACCAGGATCTTTTCTTATGCAGGTCATAGATTTTGTAGAGAACAATAAGCAGGGCTATTGATGTCACAATAATCAGAAATGCCAGAAATATAATCAGTGCTTTAGAATTATCTAGAAATGAAAAGTAACACATTAAGAGAACATATTTGCTAGATTCTTTGAATAATCACTTGTAAAGTCCTTGCATCTTAATATTTTTATTTATTTATTTGAGGTTTAAGAATAAGATTAAATACAATAAATTCCTGATGTTGTAAATTTCACATAGAGTTTGCAGGATCAATAAAAATCATTTTAAATTTAAGGAGAATAATTAGAATATAGAAGAGTAACTTTCTTCCCTTCCATTAAATATTGCTCCTTTATGATATAATGTTATTTAGATTTAATTCTCTCTCTTCCAATCACTCCATTTTGAAAAAAAATCAAAGAGTTAATCTACTTATAATTCTCAAAGAGAAACCCATAGATTGTGTATCTTCTTAAGGGTATCAGAAAGGCCTCTCGCCTATAAAGATAAGGCCTTTTACCTGCTCATTGAGGGTAAAATTAATTAACCAAGGGGGAACATGTTCCATTTTACAGTTAGGATAAGACTTGCCCTGACTTAAATTTTCCCTAAAGGCAGAGAAGAGGATATGTTGGAAATATTGCAATGAGTAGTATGTCATGCTTTTCATATACAGTGTAAGTGCCACAAAATAATGCAACCACATAACGGCCTTCACCCCAGAGCCAGACTGCTTAGGTTCAAATCTTAGCTCTATCTCTTCGCACTTGGGACTCTGGCCAGAATCTTTGATATGTTTATGCCTCAATTCCCTCATTCTTAAAAGATGTTAAATTAGTTGATTCACAGTAAACACTTAGCGCAATGCCTGGAATACAGTAAGTACTAACTATACACTATTCCAAAAAAAAAAGAAAATCATTTTAGGTCTTACTGTTCACCAAGCATGTTATAAATGCTTAGGATACTTCAGAGAATAAAACAAAAGTCTCTGTCCTCATGGAACTTACCTCCTATTGGGGAAGTCTGACCATAAGCAATAAATTTAATACATAAGCAAATGATAAAACAGCTTAGAACATAAGGTCTATGAAGATAAAAAGGAAGAGCAAGAGTAGGGCATTTGGATTGTGGGAGGTATTAGATCCCAGAATCAAGCTGAGTTACTAAATATGTCAGGGAGGCCTATTAGGAAGGTAAGGGAGTTAGTCAAACAAATATCTGGAATGTATGCTCTGGGCAGAGGGCATCCTTAGATCAAGAACTCAATGGCAGGAGTATGGCTGGCATGTCAAAGAAATAGCAGAAATTATAGTGAGACTGGAACTCAGAGAGTAAAAGGGATAACAGAAGGAGATGCCACTTGACAGTGTTGCAAGAGGTAGAGGTAGCAGGGCCAGATCACTTGAACCTTTTAAATCATATTAAAGATACTTTAGCTTTCACTCTATGTGAAAATGTTAGCCACTACAGGATTTTGAGTAGAGTAATATACTTCAATTATCCATTTGACTACTTAATGAGTATGTCACAATCCAGGCAAGAAGTGACAAGTAGTTCATTCAGACCAGGGCAGTAGCTGTGAAGTGGGGGAAAATGGTTAAATGGAGGTGAAATTAACTGGAAACCAGAAGGCTGTGGGTGGAACAGGTGATAAGAGAGAACAGTAGTCTGTTTTGGACTTGAGAATTTGACATAATTACTAAACAAACAATTGGAAATATGAACTTGAAAATGCAAATCTGGAGCTCCTAAATCATAAATCTTCAGGAATAAGAATTTGGCCTTGAGATAAAAGTTACCTTGATTTTGAAACTGCATCTAGACAGGAAAGTTTATGTATAAACCATATCAATATGGTGGGAAACCACAGCTTTGGTCTTCTCTGCATACACTATACTCTGGTAACTAGGCATATCCCTTTTGATAGCTCTGAAAGCTTTATCCATTAAAATGTTATTAGAAGTTTTGCAGAGGATATGATCCTATACATAGAAAACCCAAGAGACTCGGCAAGAAAACTACAGAACTTAGTGGAAAATTTAGCATACTGGTAGGATACAAGATCAACATATAAAAATCAGTTGAATTCCTCTACACCAGCAATGAGGTCTCTGAAAAGGAAATAAAGAAATCAATACCATTTACAATAACTACCAGAAAGATAAGATACTTAGGAATAAATCTTACCAGGGACAGAAAAGAGCTATACAAAGAAAACTAGAAAATAATACTTCAAAAAACTGTAAAAGATCTACATAAATGAAAGGACATACGATGCTTATGGATAGGAACATTGAATGTTGTGAAAATGTCAATACTACCCAAAGCAGTCTACACATCCAATGCAATCCCAATCTAGATCCCATCAACATTCTTCAAAGATATGGAAAGACCCTATCTTTAAAATCACAAATTTTATATGGAAAGAAAAAGGACCTTAGATAGACAAAGCACTGCTGAAGAACAAGAACAAATCTAAGTCTCACACTGCTAGATCTCAAAACCTATTATACCATAACAGCAGTCAAAACAGCCAGGCATTGGTACAAGAAGACACACAGACCAGTGGGATGGAATTGAGAACCCAGAAATAGATCCAGCCACCTATGATAAGCTGTTCTCTGACAAAGGACCAAAATCCATTAAATGGGGAAGAGATAGTCTTTTTAACAAATGGTGCTGTCAAAACTGGATATCCAATTGCAGAAAAATGAAGCATGATCTATACTTCACACCATACACAAAAACGCACTCCAGATGGATCAAAGACTTAAATGTGAAACCTGAAACTATAAAGTTCATCAAAGAAAAAATAGGGGCAAACTTAGGGGCTCTAATTTATGGCATAAAGAGACTATCAAACATAACCCAAAATACACAAACAGCAGAAGAGAAACCAGATGATCTGGACCTTCTAAAAATTAAATTCTTATCCATCAAGTGACCTCCAAAAGAGTAAAAAGAGACCTACAGATTGGAGGAAAATAGTTGGCAATGATATATCTGACAAAGGACTTATCTCTCAAATTTATAGAAAAGTCCATCACCTCAACATTAAAAAGACAAACAATCCAATTAAAAACATGCACAGACACTTCACCAATGTGTCACACTTCACCAAAGCAGATATTCAGGCATCTAGCAAACACATGAAGAAATGTTCACAATTTAGCCATTAGATGAAAATCAAAACAACAATGAGATACCATCTCACTCCAGCATTAATAGCAAAGTTCAGTAAGATAGAAAATAACAAATGTTGACAGGGAGGTGGAGAGATTGAAACTCTCATATACTTCTTGTGGGACTTTAAAATGATACAACCACTTGGAAATCGGTACGGTGATTCCTTAAAAAGTTGGAAATAGAAATACCATTTGATCTAGCAATCCCATTACTAACTATATGTCCTAAAGAAATGAGGGCTGGGACACAAATAGATAATATGCACATGTACATTCATCACAGCACTATTCACAATAGCCAAGAGATGGAAATAACCTAGGTGCCCATCAACGGAGGAATGGATAACCAAACACTAGTACATACACACAATGGAATACTATGCAACCTTAAAGTATAATGTAAAATCTGCAAAACACCACATAATGTTGATGAACTTGGAATATATTATGCTGTGTGAAATAAGTCAACCACAGAAGGATAAATATTGTATTAGTCCACTATCGTAAAAAGTCAAGGAAAGGTTTAAACATGAAAGGAAACTTTTTTTGTTGTTAGCAGGAAGTTTTAGTGGCTACCAGGGGTAGGAGGGAGGAGTAAAGGGGAAGCTTTTGTTTGCAGGGCATTAAGTTTATGTTAATGATGGTGGGATATTTTGGAAAAGGATAGCACTAATGGTGGCACAATGTGAAAAATGTCATAAATGTCCCTGAGCTGTAAATGTGGAAGTTGTTATGTTGGCAAATGTCTTGCTGCGTATGTTTTCACCACAATAAAAGTAAACAAACAAACAAAAGATAAATAAAAAATATATATATATTATTAGAGAAAAGAAAGAAAGAGTCACTATCAAGTCAACTCTGGCTTGACTCCTGGTGACCCCACATGTGTCAGAGTAGCACTGTGCTCTACAAGGTTTTCAGTGGCTGATATTTTGGGAGCAGATCACCTGACCTCACAGGCTTTTTTTTTTTTTTTTTTTTCTTTTTTTTTTTGGTTTTTTTTTTTTTTTTTTTTTTTTTTTTTTGAGGGGGGAGAGGAATATGGCTTCTAAACCAAGGTGGCTCCCGCACCACAAATGTGGTCTTCTGTCATGTCAGATCCACCACTAAGAGAGTCAGAGAATAGTTTCTAGGCTGCTGTGAGCTGGTAGCCTATTAAGGTGTGTGAGTTTGAAATGCCCAGTTGAGTATAAGACCCCATAAGTGGATAATGTAGCTAAAAAGTATTTGCATAGTCAAAAAAATTCAATGAATTTCTTTTTATTAGGAGGAGATACAAAGGAATAGTCTAATACTGAAATAGAATCATAGATAATGGCTACATTTGTATGGCATTTAACACCAGAGCTCTCATTAAAAATCTTAACAAGAAGGAGTAAAACGTTTCATTGAACTTACTAAAGCAGTTTGGAAAGGAAGCAGCTTTTGAATCTTCCTCTTGACTTTGGAAAATAAACCTTTAGTGATTTTATATGTGCATATGTATGTAAGAAAGAAGACAAAGACAGCAACAGAAATAGCCTATGGTTGATGATATAACATACAGTTTTAAATAATTTTAAATACAGAGTAAGTAAATAAAGATAATTTAAAGCAGTGTACTAAGTGTTCTTTCTGCATAGGCTCATATCAATAGACAATACTAATAATTCTAGAAAAAGCAACATACAAATGGTATTTACTTATACAGTGAACTATAAAGAGAACTGAAAATAGAAGTGTTTAAAACTGATTACTTTGGTGAGCAGAACAATGAATGGGAGTGATGTGACACAGTTTTATTTTCATTAAAATAATGAAATTTTCATTTACTTGATATTTTTCGTGTTCACCTTTACTTTGATTAAAATAATTTTTAAAATGTTAATGATAATAAACATAAACAACCATATTGTTGATGTTATAAAGAAATATTTATATTAGCTTCAGTTAGGTAAGTCAGAACAAGTATTCATCTAATATCCACTTCTACAAAATGATGGTTGAAGGATAAAATAAGTAATAATCTCAGACTATTACATAAAATAAAATTGCTCATATGAAAGAAATGTCACAAAAATAGTCATAATTTAATAGCCCGTGAAGATAATCCTCTTGTGTATTATTTTGTGAAGTCAACAATTCTTTAATAACTGAACCATCATCTGCTAATACCAACTTAATAGCTATATATATATATATATATATATATATATATATATATATATATATATATTTGGCAGGGAGTATTTAATCTGAATTTGGGATCTGTCATGCAAACAGTTAAGCACTGTTCTACTAACCAAAATGCTGGCAGTTGAAACCCACCCATCCATCAACTCTATGGAAAAAGACCTGCTGATTTGTGTCTCTGAAAATCACAGTTAAGAAAACTCTGGAAATTTTGCTCTACCACATGGAGTCACTATGAGTTAAAGATGATACCTAACAGCAACAAGTATCTGAATTTAATATATTGTATTTTAATATGATATTCACCTATATTTTACATAATAATCCATAATATTATATTTATGGAAAGCATATCTTTTAAATATTTTTAAATAACAGTTTGAATATGAAATAATACAACTATTTAAGTGGTAAAATATATTTTATTATGGAGATAATATGAAAAATAGCTCAGTAGTGACTTACAAGATGTTGACTTGGTTGCTATAGTTTCAGGTCCATAATATTTTCCATTGTAAAAATAGACCTAAATTTCAGCAATAAAAAAGAAAAGACATTAGTTTTCTAAGTAAATGTACAAATTATAATCTAAAACTTACACTATTCATAATTCAATA